TTTTTTTTTTTTTTTTTTTTTTTTTTTTTTTTAGTTTACAATGTTAGTCGTGATACAAAATAATATAAGTCGTGATATATAATAATATAAGTCTGATACATATATAATAATATAAGTCGTGATATATAATAATATAAGTCTGATACATAAAAATATTTAAGACTTCTACAAGAAAAGAAAAAAAAATGAGTATATATATATATATATGTATATACAATTCAGCGTACTAACAATATAAGACTAGGTTTCCGAAAGAAGATCAGAAGGATCTTATCACCGGAACCTTAAAAAAGACATAATGCAAAGATTTAACATAATGCAAATATGCAATATACTAATACAATATAACATAATGCAAATATACAATATACTAACATTTTAATACTCAATATGCTGAAGATTTGAAAAATACATTTTACATAAATTTTTAGTAGAATTTTAGAATGTTGTCCATACAGAGAATGAAGTTTTTTAATTTAGTTTTAAAAACAGGAAGAGTAGTAGAAGGGTCAAAATTTGGTAATACTATTTTATTCCAAAGATGGGGTGCACGATATGCAATACAGAATTGGTTGAACTTCGTTTTACAAAATGGTTCATTTAGAAAACTATTACTTCTTAATGTGTATTTATTTATTGGTTTTAAAGAAAAAAGGTCATTGAAAACAAATAAAGATAAATCGTTTTTCCACATAAAAGTAAAACATAAAACATTAAATATGTTAAGTTTATAAACATCTAGTACATTCATATAATCAAAAAAATATTTCGAATGTGAAAAGCGATCCGCATAATTAACTACACGGATTGCATGTTTCTGACGGCGATAAAGATGTTGTAATTTACTTTTCTCCGTACTTCCCCAGGCTATGATTGCATAATTTATATAATTATGTATAAATGAATAATAGAGCTGGGTTAAGTTTTTTTTGTTTAGATAATTTCGAGCTTTGTATAAAATGCCAATATTTTTAGAAACTTTGGTGCTTATATGATCAATATGCTTTCTCCAAGTAATATTTTCATCAAGATAAACACCTAAGAATTTTATAACAGTATCTCTTTTTATTATAGTTTCATCAATGTAAATTTGAGGCATATTATTTGTTAAAAATCGTTTTTTTGCGCAGGAGTGAAAAATAATCCATTTTGTTTTGTTAATATTTAAAGTTAATTTATTAGCTTTGAACCAGTTCGAAATGTGTTTGAGTTCTTTGTTTGTAGTTGAAAAGAGTTCATAAATATCAGTATGGGATAAGAAAAGATTAGTATCATCAGCGAACATTATACTTTTCAATTTGGAAGCTTTGTTTAAATCGTTTACATAGATTAAAAATAGTAGTGGTCCGAGAATAGAGCCTTGTGGAACACCACAAGTTATGCTCAGGGGTTCACTTTGATAACCATCATTACTATACACAAGTTGCTTTCGATTTGTTAAATAGCTTTCAAACCATTTTAAAATTTTATTGTTTAAACCATAATATTTAATTTTTTGGATTAAGATGTGGTGATCGACCGTATCAAAAGCTTTTGATAGGTCAATAAAGACACCTAGTGTGTATTGAGATTTTTCAAAAGATTTAGAGATGTTATGTATAAATTGAATGATGGCATGTTCAGTTGAGCTCCCTTTTCTGAAACCATACTGATTGTTATATAATAAATTGTTGTAATTAAAATAATTGTATACTCTATTGAAAATAATTCTTTCTAAAATTTTAGAAAATATAGAAAGAACAGAGATAGGGCGATAATTATTGATATTGGACCTGTCGCCTTCTTTATGGAGAGGGGTAACTCTGGCAAGTTTTAAACGTTCAGGAAAAATACCTTGATGAATAGATGCTCTGAAAATTTTGAAAAGAATATTTTTTAATTGTTCATAGCAATCTATAACAATATTCCCGTTTATTTCATCTGCACCAGGTGCTTTATTCTTTTTTAAAGATTTAAAAGCTTTCTCAAACTCATCAAATGATAGTTCAGCAGATAATTCTTCAGAGGAAATATTTTTATCAAAAGGTAACAAAAAATCATAAAATGAGGTCTGAGTTTTTTGTATTTTACTTGATAAGATTGATCCAATTTCAGTAAAATATTTATTGAATTCATGAGCTATTATTTGTGGCTCATGCAAGCTATTGTTATCGATTTTAAGCGTTTGTGGCAAAGAGCTTGAGCATGTTTTTTGTTTTCCTGTAATTTCTTTTAATATTTGCCAAGTGCGTTTTGAGTCATTTTTAGCTTTATTAATTAATTTTGAATAGTAATTTTTTTTTAATTTTTTTCGGATTTTTTCGAATAGATTTTTGTAATCTTTGTAAATTTTTTCGCTATCTGGTGTTTTTGTTTTTAGATATTTTATGTATAGCCTTTGTTTAGTTTTGGATGATTTTTTGAACCCCTTGGTAATCCAGGGATTATCAAAGTGTTTTGTTTTTAATGTAATTGTAACAATTGGAAAATTAGACTCGTAAACAGAGATAAAAGTTTCATAGAATTTTTCATAAAGGTTGTTTGCATTTTCATTAAAATTTAAGTGTTTCCAATGTAATAATGAGAGCTGATTTTTAAAGGCCTCAATGTTTGATGATGTATAAAAACGTTTTTTTACAATTTTATTTAATTTTTGTTTAGGCAGTTGGTCGGTGTTTATAGTTAGAAAAATAGGAAAGTGGTCCGAAATATCCGTTTTTAAGATACCTAATTTTATATCATTGTTGAACAAGTCTGTGGTAATGATATTATCCAGCAAAGTTGCTGAATTTTTTGTTATTCTTGTTGGGCGATTTATTAAAGGAATTGCTCCAGATTCAAAAATTGTATCATAAAAATTTTTAACTTTTTTATCGTCATTGTAGACAAAACAATTCATATTAAAATCACCAACAAGAAAGTTTTTTTTCTTTTCGTTGTTACCTTTTGCAATAACATTTTGCTGTAAAAACATGCTCAAGTTCTCGCTCACGCCATCTGGCGGTCGATAACAACAGCTAACTAAAATATTTTTTGTTCGTTCATTAATAATCTCAATTGTTAATATTTCTCCATCGCCGTCAGAAACACTAAGATCATTTCTACAACAATGCTTTATATCTTTATGAATGTAAATTAGAACTGTAACTTAGAACTGTAAATTAGAACTGTAAATTAGAATGTAAAAATTAAACTCGATCAATATTTTAAGTATATATAATGCTTACTATGCAAATTTAAACTAAAAGTCCGAAATGAAAGAACTTTTTTAGACATATATATAAGCAGTACTGAAAAAAGCATCTCATATGAGGTTTCTGTTGATAAAACAAACTATATTAGTTTTCTATATCAATCTACATTAGATTTCTTAAACTATTATCGACTAAAAAATAAAGTAAAAGTAGACTGTGAAAGCTTTCGGACATCCTCTCACATTAAAGTGCAACTTCTTAAATTATCATTGCGGTCTGTGGCTCATCAAAAAACTTTCAAAGTCTTCCGTTAAAGCTATACGGTCGTGCGGATCTTAATGCGAACTTTAATCAACTTCAGAGACCCTCGCACATATAGATATCACTCTTTTTTTATTTATACACAACTCAAAAGACAGCCACAACAATATTCTAGGAATGCTAGTGAATCCAACAATCAATTAAAAATTAGATTTAGACTTATAATTGCTCAAAATCATGTTGTATTAGCGTTATATATAAAGATTATATGCAATTTTAGGCATTAAAACAGAACAAAGTTGGTTATTTCGGGCAGCTTATGTGTTTTGCGTTTCGCATAACTGAATATTGCTTGGTAAGCAATATTAATGTTTGATAAGCAATGTTTAGCTATTACTTACTTAAAATGCATCTTAGCAGCAGTTTAATAAAATATTAAATTTAATTTTTTTTAATGCGAATTCGTATGAAATAAAGTAGTTACAGTTTGCTGAGCCACAGAATTCGTATGAAATAAAGTAGTTATAGTTTGCTGAGCCACAAAGCTTTAAAACTCTTTTAAAATGACGACATTCAGCGCGTGAGTTTAAAGTTATAAAACTAAGGCAAGCTGCAAATATGACTTGTTATTGCACTTCGCCCAAGAGTTGTTGATTCAATAATTGAAATGCGAAAAACACGTGTTTTTGGAAAGGAATGAAACGTAAAATTAAAAGACATGTTTTTTGCCCACTACTACTTGTAAGGCTCAAGAAAAGTTATTTCATAAACATCTTTTTACTAATATTAGACTGTCTAATGATCAACATGATGCAATGTATTTTTGAGTAATTTTAAATCGTTTTTTTTTTTTTTTTAACGGCCGAAAGTTTGCACAAATAAATATTAACAAAACGTATTTTACTAAATTCACTAAAATAAATTTCAGAAATCTGAGTTCACGTTAAAACAGAATGACTTGGTAATTTCTAAATCATGAAAAATTTGCAGTAATTAAAAAGTACGAAGTCGTACGATTGTAGCAAAAAAAAAAAAAAAAAAAAAAAAAAAATGTAGATTAATTTTCCGTATTTTAGAGAGGTGAGTGAGTATACTCACTCACCCCGTGATTACGGATTGTGATAAACATAAGCGTAAACCATAATTAAATTGATGAGGTAAATAACCTTCTTAAGTCATACAATGTTGCAAGTTACTCACATTGGAACCATTATATTCTCACAATCCGTAAATAAATGCATATATGCATTCATTTACGGATAAGACTCTCGCTCGTCGATATAAAGAGAGAAAAACTGACGCGGAATGACTGCCTTTAACAAAATGCTAACGATTTCTTTTGTTTTAGAGCGTAAAGTTAACAAAAAACATCAAAAACAAAAAATTTTATTGATATTTCGTTGGCACTTGTCTCAGACGAAAAAACTTTTATCATTATTTTTTATTAATTTGTTCGAACTTTTTAACTTATACTTTCATAAACTAAATTAAAAAAAATTAAAATAGAGTGTTCGTTTGCTATTCCGATGTGCGAGAGCTTGTCAAATTTACAACTAAATCGACACGTTTTTAAAATAAAATTATTTTCGATTTCAATGAAAGAGATAAAAACAACAGCATATAATATACATAGCATAAACTAAATGAACTTTGTGTAAACAATTTCCTTACAATAACAATCGGTGAAAAGGAATTAAATTACATAGGTGCAGCGCCACAAAACTTTTTTACAGAAGCAGGTTTATAGAAAGTGGTCAAAAGAAAGCTCGAAGAATTTTGGTATAATTTATAACATGATCATGGGTGTAGCTTTGCGGCGCTGACCCGTCCCAAACCAAACACGTAGATTTCCTTTGCATATAAAAAATTTGGTTGAAATCACACAAAAAATTTAATGTTATCATTGCAGACTCAACTATATACTACATTTTTAATATAAGAACGAAACTCTACAACGAATTTCACAAAACCCAAATTTTATGAAAAGCAAATACAAAAATTGATAAGAAAATCGATTATCGGTCACGAATTTCTTAAAATATATAATACGTAAATGGTCAAAACGTTTTTAATCGTTCAGAATGTGTACTGCAACCATGGATATTTTAATTAAATCTTCATTTCGCACCCTTAGCTTTTTTGTTCTGCGTCTGGTTACGAGGCGGCGTGATGGGACGACCAGAATTCAATCCACCATATTGATATTTTGCTTTCTTTTCAGCTGGCTTTAATATCTTTTTGTTTGAAAAAAAATTTGGATATACATATTTACATAAAATTTTTTAAAATAGATTTATAGAACAAATATCAAGTAAAATGATAAAAAATAAAAAAATACTTGAAAAGAACACATTAATGTATCATCAACACTCATCATTCCACCAGCATTGTCAAACTCTCCACAATAATTAGGTGCTGAGAATAATGTCACTAACTGACGTTTCGCAAAGAATTCATAACCATCTTCGACAACCTTAATTTATATTGAAAATAATTTAAACAATATTAACAGTAACATTAGATGGTAACAAAATTTAAAACAAATTTTTAAACAATATTAAACCTGATGAGCTCGACATATAAGATCCAAATCATGCCTATTTAAGAAACGTGCAACAACGTCACCTCCAAACGTAAACGAAACCCCTCTGTCGTTTTCTCCCCATCCTTGAATATCTTTATCAGGATCCGACCAAAGTAAATCACATAGAAGACCTTGAGAGATGTTTACTCCCATTATAACATATAAGTCAGAAAATTAATTAATTAAAAAGTAAAGATTAAAAATTAGAGATTTGGATACCTGTATCAGGGACATCTGTAGGTCGCATTATTCTTCTGATTTGTTCCATAGACTGCAAATCAGGTGAGAGGCCTTAAAAACAAAGCTTGTTATAAAAAAATAACTGTAAGTAAAAATGTATCTAATAAAACAATACATTCATTTCATTAAAAAGAAAAACTCGTTTTTAATTTTGTCATAAACTTATTTTCATAAAATAAACTACAATAAATTAAAATATTATTTATTTTGAAAGTCAATACCTCCATGGCAACAAAATATCTTTTCGTCAACAATAGCAGCAATAGGTAAGCAGTTAAAGCAATCAGTAAATGTTTTCCAAATTTTTATGCTAAAACGACGCTTACCTAGAATGTAAAACTAAAGTATCAATATTTATTATATCTTTCTATATTATTAAATATAATGAAAAAAAATAAAAAAATTAAAGGTGATTACATTCGTCATAAAAGCCATATATTCTGTTAATACTTGCACATTCGTGGTTTCCTCTTAGCAAAAAGAAGTTTTCAGGGTATTTTATTTTATATGCCAAAAGCAAACAAATTGTCTCAAGTGATTGTTTTCCTCTATCTACATAGTCACCAAGAAATAAATAATTAGCCTCTGGAGGAAAGCCACCATATTCGAATAAACGTAAAAGGTCTGAATACTGGCCATGTATATCACCTAAATAAATATAAATGCTGTTTCAACATAAAGTTTATATAAATGGTTCATTTAGCATTTTACTCTACCTAAAGCTTAAACTTTCGTTAAGTTTTCATTAAGTTTTTAGAAAAGAGGTTACTTTTATTTTTTAATTATTCTTATTACTTGTTGCGAATGTAATTGGTAAAGATTGTGTAAAGATAATATACTATGTAGTCGATACATATACATAATCACATTAAAAACATTGTCATTATACTATTTATTAAAATTAGTTTAAAATCTTACACATTTATTATTGTATTTAGTTGTGAATATGACACTGTTTGTAAACATGTCAAAATAATTACAGTAAATTAATTATTTCATTCACAAAAAAAAGTATTTAGCCAACACTTTTAAACGTTTTAAAGATTGTCACTTGTTTCAACCTGATTATAAAAATCTTTTTGTGATCAGGTTCTATTTTGTCAATACTATAAACAAAATACATGGTCGCAAAATGTGTTTTACATGGGGAGTAAAAATTAAATATAAAATTTTTTTACTGGGGAGTAAAAATTTATTAGTTAAAGACGTAGTAATTAAAATCTCATCTACACCAGAATTTATATAGGTAAAGAAAAAATCTATTTTTAAAAACAAGTTTAATTTTTAGTTTAAAGTTTTTAATAATGGAAAAATTGAATTCAAGCCGACATCAAAATAAATTAATTTTATGACCATAACATTTAGTTCTTAACTTTATTCATTAGATATGGTAAAAATAATTGGAAAATACAATCTATTTTTAATTATTTTTACAATATCTAATGAATAAAGTTAAGAACTAAATGTTATGGTCATAAAATGTAAGTTTTAGCATAACAAATGGGCAACAAAATATATTAAATTTTGATCATAAACTGACAATTTAATTATTTATAATAAAAAAATTTTTCAAATGACTTTTTTACCTAAGGCATAGAAATAAATTTACTTATTATACCATATATAAGCAGCGAACAGCATGGTGAAAAAAAAAAAAAAAAATAGGTCCGTGTATTTAGAACATATTGATGTTATTATATGCTGGATTTCATAGTTTTTACTTGAAGTTTTACAAGCATTTTTAAGTTATTTTTTTTTGTCATGACGGTCCTAATAAAAAAATGCTTAAAAAGAGCAAAACGTCACAATCAATGATGTGAGTAAAAAGTATAAATGATTATTAGAAACCATGTATATTATGTTCATAGATGAGTATTTGACTTTATGAAAATCCCGGAAATTTTTTTTCTATGATAATTCCGGAAAATCCGGGAAAATTATTTTATTATTTAACTGACAAACGGAATTTAGATTATTTTAAAACGGAATTTAGATTATTTAACTTTTTACAAAAAGGAATTTCTAATATTCGAAAAAGTTTGAATGAATTAAATAGCAAAAAAAAAAAAAAAAAATTGTTACAAAAATTGATCTCGTGAAAATCTTAATTATAGAAAACATATTTGTTTAAATGCATAAGTTGTCTTATGTAAAATTTTATGTAAAAATATATTAATTTTTTTCAAATTAATATCAAAAAACATCCGGAAATTTCTGGAAAAATTAAAGGTGTTTTGAGTAAATTTCCAGAATTCCGGGAATTTCCGGAAAAAACTCATCTATGTATGTTAAAAAAAGATACTACAGCATTATCAAAGTTCTCAATTATGGATATACAATACGATTTTTAATGCTTCACAACAGGACTGTAAGTAGCGTCAAAACACATTTATACAAAAAAACTTTAAAACCATGCTATGGTATGATAAAATGATTTTTTTATAACAACTTTTTTGCTTTAAAGTATTTTTAAATAGTTAAAAAAAAGAGTTATGAAGTTTAGTATGTGCGTTTCAATACTTTATTATTCTTTTTCCCCCCTTTCATACTGAATTGCCCATATATATAAAATTCTATTATTATTTGAATTGAAAATATAATTACGCAAACATTCTTAATAAAATAAAAATTAAAGATATATTTTATCTTTTACTAAATTATTATTAAACAATGTAACTTATACAACAGTCTAACTAATTTGAAAACAGATTTTCTTGATTAAAAAGTGTTTAAAATGCCGGGTACAATGGTAATCAATTGGAATTATTTGACATTTAACTATTTTTTTATACTTATATACACTTTTATATTATTTTACATTATTCTTGAAATAAACATCATACCACATATTTTTAATGGAGCTTCAAGCTCTAATAAAATAGGCTGACTCAAGAATATTTCACGAGATTTGACACAAAGTCCACGAACTTCAGCCTCTGTCATCTGAACAGGCTTGCCAGGTTTTCCTCGAGCTATATTAAGATAAAGAGATATAGTCAAACCTTAAACTTTAGGCAAAACCAACAAATTAATTTCAAATCAATCAAAAAAATAAAAATAATAATAATTACAATTATAAAAAACTATTTTTAAAATAATTAGAATGTTATCTGATTAATTCATATTTTTGATTTGCATTATTTTTAAAATGTTGATTTATATTATTTTAATTTGATTTACATTATCTGAATTGCTTTACTCCCCCCCCCCCCCCCCACCACATCTTCACTTTCAACAAGGCTGCAAGCAACCAATTGGAAGTTACTGAAAGAGAAAAGATGAAATTTATAAAGCAAGAAAACGATTAATAGACAACTTAAAATATTGCAAATTATATGAATCAAGAAAAAAAGATGAAGGAAACATATTCCAAAGAAATTATATTCGAGGAAAAAAACTAAACCAAAAAGAACTTTTAAAGCATTTAAAACAATACCAGTAAATAGATGAGATTTAATTGAATGACAAGTAACAAGAGAATGAATTTTAGTGGATGGCACAAGAGATGCTAGCTATTTAGAGTTGTGAAAAGAGAAAGAGAAACAACATTACGACAATGTGATAATGGTTGGCTGCAAGAGCAGGTCTAACTATGTTTACAATGTATTTTTGCACCTTGTCTAAAAGAAAGGGAATCATCGGAAGATCTCCCCCAGATATGGCAACAGTATTCCATACAAGGACGGATTTGAGATTTATAGCAATAAATAATAGAATCCTGAGTAAGAAAGTGGCGAGCACAATAAAGAGATGCAACCTTAGCAGATGCTAATTTTGAAATGGATTTGATATATATTTTCAAGAAATATCGGAAAAATTAATCCTAGAAGATAAAGGGTAGATGGCTCATTGAGTACATTATCATTCATAATTATAGAAAAACCTTGATTATTGCGTTAACAATTAGCTGAAAAAAAATTAAAGAAAAAGAATCAAAGTTCACCATCCACTGAGAGCACCGTGACGTAGCATAAATAAGGTCCTTTTCAAGCACCCTCCAAGCAATTAGAAAGTGTTTCCTTCTTATCAATATAAGAATAAATGATAGTACCATCAGCGAACAAAGCCACTTTAGATGTGAGAATTTCAGAGAGATCATTAATATAAATTAAAAAAGCATAGGACCAAGGATGGAACCTTGAGGGACTCCTAAAGCTAAAGAGTGATCATCAAGGACAACTTTTATACTACGATTGGAACGGAAAGATTCAATAATCTTAAAGATGTTACCAGATACATCTCAAGAAAAAAGTTTATGGATAAGATACAAAACTTTATCAAAGGCATTTTATGTTGAGAGTGATAGCCTTGGGCTCTCCAGATCTATTTAATGCACAATATAGTATGATAACATTTATATAAATAAATGAAAATACATAATATACAGTGCATGTTATTTATTTAACCTTCGAAAAATTTTAAACTTTAGGTGTAATATATATTGATGGCATTATGCACAGAAGTGTTAAGTACAACATTTGGTCAAATTGAGTACACAAAAATTGTGTTATTTTTTCAAACATTATTGTTCCCAAATATGGTAAGTGTAAGATAAGCTGTTACGAGTCTACTAATCGTTTAAAATATTACAAGTCTATTAAATTGTTACTAGTCTACTACTTTCAAAATACTCCCCTGTAAAATCACATCTGTGGTACTTAACACTTCTGTGCATAATGCCATTAATATATATATATATATATATATATATATATATATATATATATATATATATATATATATATATATATATATATATATATATATATATATATATATATATATATATATATATATATATATATATCTTCTCCTAAGAAGCTGTTTAGAGAAGCAGCTCCCATAGTTATTTTTGCCACTCTTTCTCTTTCTCTCTCTCTCTCTCTGTGTATATATATATATATATATATATATATATATATATATATATATATATATATATATATATATATATATATATATATATACATATATATATATATATATATATATATATATATATATATATATATATATATATATATATATATATATATATATACATATATATATATATATATATATATATATATATATATATATATTAAAATAATTTAAATTAAAAAAATACAACTTTATGATGGAACTAAAAGTTTCATGCCATTCGGCAATCATCAGCCATATTATTCAAATAAAAAATAAATAAAAAAAAATTTTTTTTTATTTATTTTTTATTTGAATAATATGGCTGATGATTGCCGAATGGCATGAAACTTTTAGTTCCATCATAAAGTTGTATTTTTTTAATTTAAATTATTTTAATATATATATATATATATATATATGTATATATATATATATATATATATATATATATATATATATATATATATATATATATATATATATATATATATATATATATATAACATCTTCACTTCCAACAAGGCTGCAAGCAACCACTATAAGAGTTGGAAGTTACTGGAAGAGAAAAGACTAAATCTGTAGAGCAAGATAACGATTGACTGATGACTTAAAAGATTGCAAATTATATGAATCAGGAAAGCAAGATGAAGGAAGCGAATTCCAAAGAACTGATGTTTGAGGAAAAAAACTAGAAGAATAAGAGTTTTTAAAGCACTTAGGAACAGTCACAGAAAAAGGATGAGACTTAATTGAATGGCGAGTAACACGTCTAACAGAGAAAGAGCATCATTAGAAGATCCGCCCCAGATGTGGCAACAGTATTCCATACAGGGACGGATTTGAGATTTATAGAGATAGAGAATAGAATCTGGAGTAAGAAAGTGTCGAGCTCGATAAAGAGATGCAACCTTAGCAGATGCTAATTTTGCAATGGATTTGATATACGGTTTAAAAGAAAGATCAGAAGTAAGAGTTAATCCTAGAAGATGAATGGTAGATGACTCATCTAGTACATTACCATTCATAAATATAGGAAGATCTAAATTATTACGATAACGATTGGCCGAATAAAATTGAGTTTTATCTGAATTAAAGTTCACCAGCCACTGTGAGCCCCATGCTGTAGCAGAAGTGAGATCCTTTTCAAGCTCAGATACCCCCTCCAAGCAATCAGAGAGTGTAGGCTTCTTATCATGACAAGAGTAAATGGTAGTGTCGTCAGCGAATAATGCCACCTTAGATGTGAGAATATCTGGAAGATCGTTAATGTAAATTAAAAAGAGTATAGGGCCAAGGATTGAACCTTGAGGAACCCCTGAAGTTACAGGATGTGAAGAAGAGTGTTGTCCATCTAGGACAACTTTTATACTACGATTGGAAAGAAAGGACTCAATAATCTTAAAGACGTTACCAGCTACACCATAAGAAGAAAGCTTATGGAGAAGACCAGCATGCCAAACTTTATCAAAAGCTTTAGAAATGTCAAGTGCGATAGCTTTAACCTCTCCACCTCTATCTAATGCACGGTAAAACCTATCGGTTATTACTGTTAGCACATCAGCTGTAGAACGAGAAGACCGAAATCCATATTGATGATCAGAAAATAAGTTATTTGATTCAAGATGAGAGATTAAGTGTTTGTTGATTAAAGATTCAAAAACCTTGCTTATGACAGGAAGAAGACTAATGGGACGGTAGTTAGATGAATCAGATCGCTCTCCGGAATTTTTGAAAATAGGGATAACAGATGCTGCTTTCCAGCATGATGGAAAACAAGACTCTGATAAGCACTTGTTAAATAGTTTAGAAAGTATGGATGAAAGCTCCGGAGAACACCTCTGCAAAACTACAACAGGAATGTTGTCAGGACCACAAGCTGTTGAAGAGTCTAAGCAGGAAATTACTTTAGATACAGAAGCTGAAGTGATGCGAATGTCAAGCAAGGGATCAACCTGTTTGACGGCTATGTCAGGTAAAACGCAACTGGTGGAATCAAGAGATGATATTGATGAAAAGTTCTTAGCAAACAATTCAGCTTTGTCTTTAGGTGAGGTGACAAAGTCTGAACCATACAAGAGAGAAGGAATAACAGATTTGCCCTTATTATTGATACTGTTAAAGATTCTCCAGAAGTCTCGAGAGCCTAATTTTTGTGATGAGATACGAGATTTAATGACCTGGGAATAGCGAGCTTTGGCGTCAGACAAAACCTTTTAACAATGGTTTCTGGCGATAGTGAACAGATGTCTGTTATCTGGAGAATTGTTTTGCTGATAGATATGGAAGTAACGGTTTCGATTAGAAATTGCTGCAGCGCAATGTGAGGAAAACCAAGGAGAAGAGTGAGGCTTGACCTGAAATCGTCGAGAGGGAATAAAAGATTCCATGCCAGCCTGAATCCACGAAGTTATGTAAGAAGCACATTTGTCAGCAGGAAGACGAAAGATTTCTACCCAAGGGCCATCACGAAGAAAATCACGGAAAGAGTCCCAGTCAGCTTTAAGGTAGTTGTATGTGGTACGATGATAGGGGGATTCTGATGAAGTAGAAGAATTTGATAATAGTTTTAGAGAGATCAAACCGTGATCAGAAGTACCTAAGGGTGAATGTGGAGAAATTGAGCACTGACTAGGATCCAAAACAAGACATAAGTCGAGTAGAGAAGGTAAATGATTAGGGTTGTCTGGAAAACGAGTTGGAAAGTTGACTATTTGAGTTAGAGATTGAGAAAGGCAAAAGTTGAGGGCCTTAACGCCAGCAGAGTCACTGACACTAGAGCCAAGCCAATCGGTGTGATGGGCATTAAAGTCACCAACAACGACGATATTGGCCGATGGATAAAGAGAGAGGGCTTGGTCAATTTGATCAGAAATAACATCAAGAATAGTGCAATCTTGGGATGAAGGAGAGCGATATAGAACAAAGAGAAAGGCGATAGAGTGAAGTTGTGCTAAACGAAAGCACATAAATGAATAGTCTGTAGATTCAAACCTAGTTTCACGACAAATGGGTGAGTTCTTACGAATGTAGATGCCCAGGCCAAGCATGTGATTATTGGAGTCTTTAC